AGCCCTTTTTATTTTTTATTTTAAGACTGTTTCTTAGGGTTTCATTAAGTTTCTGAGGCTAAGTGTCTTAGGGTCTCATTAAGTTTCTGAGACTAGCCTTGAACTTGGGATCCTCCTGACTCAACCTCCCAAGTCACTGTATATTACTTCTTTATCTATTTTTCTAAGTTCTAGGTTTTTAAAATATTTATTACAAGAAGGCCTATCCTGATTTCAGAAGCATTTAAATGTGAAAAAACTTGAGACTTATATTTGAAGACATATGGTTTTTAAAATGCTACTGGGAAACACATGAGGAAATGATTAATTTTGTCTGGATGACAAGGTGACATTTGAGTCTAGTATGGGAAGTTGTGTAGGAGTTTCCCATGCAGATAAGAGGCTAAAGGGTATTCCAAGCCAAGGGAAACCTCTATTATGGTGCTTATCTCAATCTATTCTGTATATTGCTCCACTCCCACCAGCTTGTAAATTCCTTGAGATCAAGAACAAATTTGATTTCCCAAAATGACCATATAGCTTGTTATTTTGCCATTTTTTACTATTTAATTTCATATTTATTAATTTTATTCATATTTTTATTTACCGAAAAAACAGTATTTCTCGTAGCTCATTGTAAAAAACTGGTAAATACAAAGAGGCAAACACCACCCCACACAAATTTCTGGCAGTAATCAGAGGCTGAGGCAATGAGGTTGTTTGTTTGTTTTTAGTACCAGGGATTGAACCCACGGGCACTTAACCCTGAGCCACATTCCTAGCCCCTGCCTCCCCACCAACCCCCTGCTTTTTAAATTTTTTTATTTGAGACAGCGTTTTTTGCTAATTGCTTAGGGTCTCACTGAGTTTCTGAGGCTGGCTTTGAAGTTGCCATCCTCCTGCCTCATCTTCCTGAGCTGAGTTGAAGAAGTATCTCAAGGGGCTGGGGATGTGGCTCAAGCTGTAGCGCGCTCACCTGGCATGCGTGCGGCCCGAGTTCAATCCTCAGCACCACATACCAACAAAGATGTTGTGTCCGCCAAAAACTAAAAAAATAAATATTAAAAATTCTCTCTCACTCTCTCTTTAAAAAAAAAAAGAAGTATCTCAAGTTAGAATAGTTAGAGCACTATGGCATCTGGAAATGCAATGAATTTTGAAGTCTATAACATAATATAAAGAGGAGCTTAAAATGACAGCTGGGGCTGGGCACGGTGGCCCACGCCTGTAATCCCAGCAACTCGGGAGGAGGAGGCAGGAGGATTGCAAGTTTAAAGCCAGCCTCAGAAATTTAGGGAAATGGTAAGGAACTCAGTAAGACTTTGTCTCTAATAAAATACCAAATAGGGATATCGATGTGGCTCAGTGGTCGAGTGCCCCAGAATTCAATCCCTGGTACCCAAAACAAACAAAAAACCAAACAACTGGCATAATGAAAAGAAGATTCTGGGCTGGGTGTGGTGGATTACAGCACACCTGTAATCCCAGTGACTGGGGAGGCTGAGGCAGGAGGATCACAAGTTTACAGGCCAGCCTCTTCCCAATTTAGTCAAACTATCTCAAAATAACAAGCACCCCTGGGTTTAATTCCCAGTATCCACCCGCTGACCCCCATCCAAAGGGGAAAAAAATAATGGCTCTCAAAGTCTGCAGCTTCAGATGTGGCACTGAGAATGGAACTCAGTGCCTCATACATGCTAGGCAAACACTGTGCCACTGAGCCACAACCTCAGCCCCAAGACCTATTTTAAATATATAGTTTCAGACTTAGGTTTTTGAGTTGAAACCTTACCAAGTTTATGCATGGAAGTGGATCATCTAAATTTCATAATTTTTTTTTGTACTGGAAATTGAATTCAGGTGCGTTTAATGACTGAGCCACATCCCCACCTCTTTTTATATTTTATTTAGAGACAGGGTCTCATTAAGTTGCTGAAGCTGGCTTTGAATTCGTGATCCTCTTGCTTCAGCCTCCCAAGCGGGTGGGATTACAGGCATGTGT